AGCACTTTTCTCCCTGGACGTCAGCAAGTCGAGTGGACCCGATGGAGTCTCTCCCATTGTGCTGAAGACGTGTGCTCCGGAGTTGGCACCGGTTTTAACGCGTCTTTTCCGGTACTCCTACTCCCAAGGCGTAGTCCCAAATTCATGGAAGACAGCTTTGGTCCACCCGATCCCTAAAAAAGGCGACCGCTCAGACCCGTCCAACTACAGGCATATCGCCATCACCTCCTTGTTCTCCAAAATAATGGAGTCCATTATAAACTGCCCGCTCATGAGGTACCTTGAGGATCACCAGCTGATCAGTGACCGTCAGTACGGTTTTCGTCAGGTTCGATCAGCAGGTGGTCTTCTAGTTTACTTAACTCATAGATGGGCGGAGGCAGTAGAGTCCAAGGGGGAGGCATTGGCCGTTAGTTTGACATAGAGAAGGCCTTCGATCGGGTCTGAATGTCTGGGTCTGGTTTCGAAGCTTCCTTCCTATGGGCTTCCCGAGAAATTGTGCAAATGGATCACCAGTTTCCTTGCTGATCGGAGCATCAAGGTCGTAGTAGACGGTGCATGCTCTGATTTCAAACCTATCAACGCTGGTGTTCCACAAGGCTGCGTGCTATCACCAACGCTGTTTCTCCTGCATATCAATGATATGTTGCTAACTGGTAGCATTCATTGCTATGCCGACGACAGCACTGGGGATGCCTTATATACCGGCCGTGCCAATATTTCTCGGAAAAACGTCGCCGAGTACCGGGACAAACTTGTGTTTGAAGTCGAGTCTTTTCTTAACAATGTCTCTGATTGGGGCCGACTAAATCTAGTCCAGTTCAATCCCCAGAAGACACAAGTTTGCGCGTTTACCGCTAAAAAGAACCCCTTTGTCGTATCTCCTCAGTTTCAAGGCACTTCCCTTGCTGCCTCAGCCAGTATCGGAATCCTTGGCGTCGACATATCGAATAGCGTGCAGTTTCGTGGTCACTTGGAAGGGAAGGCCAAAATGGCCTCTAAAAAGCTTGGCGTGCTCAGCAGAGCGAGACAGTATTTCATGCCAGCACATCGCTTACAACTTTACATAGCGCAAGTTCGGCCCCACATGGAATTCTGTTCTCATCTCTGGGCCGGGGCACCCCAGTGCCAGTTCCTTCCACTTGACCGCATCCAGCGCAGAGCGATTCGAATCGTCGACAACCGAGTTCTTTCCGATCGGCTCGATACACTGGCACTGCGTAGAGATGTTGCATCTCTTTGCGTATTTTATCGCATCTATCACGGGGAGTGCTCTGAGGAATAGTTCGGACTAATTCCAGCCGCTCAATTTCACTATCGTACATCGCGACAAAACTCGCGTTACCATCCATACCATCTGGATGATTGGCGGTCCACCACTGTGCGATTTAGAAGAAGTTTTCTCCCTCGCACAACTTCTTTGTGGAATCAATTACCACCAGCGAAGTTTCCGAACCGATACGACTTAGGAACCTTCAAGAAAAGAGCTTACACCTTTCTAAAAGGCCGGCAACGCATCTGCAATTCCCCTGGTGTTGCGGTTGTTCATGGGCGGCGGTAGTCACTTACCATCAGGTGAGCCGCATGCTCGTATGCCCCTTATTCTATAAAAAAAAGAAAAAACTAAGATGGAATGCCACTTTTCCAGTAAAAAGGGTCTCCGGTTTTCTACACTCACCATACGAAACACAGCAGTGTTAAACTACTATTTGACGCTGGTATTCTGTGAGAGCGTGGTCCTTCCCCGGTCGAGCCGACCCATTCGTGCTACAACTATATTACAAATATAGCTGCAGCATGGCTCTACCACGTAAATATTATTTTACATACCACCTTGATAGTCAATCAATTTTTGTTCGATAAAATGACTTTGCCTGTAGAATGCTATTAAAAAGCAATTTTGCTCGAAAGGAAATGTTCTTTTGATTCATTACAGAAATTTATTTAAGTCATAACGACATATTTAGGATAAAAAACAGGAGGATCTACGTCAGGAAGAACGACACGTCTCCGGCTTTGCATATATCACAGGAAAGAGACGCATATTGTTTTGTTCCCTTTTTAAGGACGTTAAATTGCTTAAATTAATCGATTCGATTGTTGTAAAAGCAATTCACAGGCCTCTCTCAGCGCAGTTTGTCTATATTATATATCATTGTTTGACCTGTAATTGTGCAGCGAAGTTGGGTCCATATTCTTTACGAAAGTTACACAAATATATATATATATATATATATATATATATATATATATATATATATATATAATATATATATAATATTGTTATGATGACATTAAATATGTATATATACATAAGTAAATATATATGTATTTATATATATATATGTATATATATATATCTTATATGTTTATATATATATATATATATATTTATATATATATATGTATATAAAGGTAATGTAATATATCATTCTACCTGACTATCTCTCCTGATCTGTAAACTTATGACCATCTTCATTACATTGAATTGCTTATAATTTTGCTTATAATTTATCTATTAGATTGTTCTTTTTCCTTTTCTTCTAACAACAATACACCTACCATCAAACAATATAAGGGAAACCTGTTATTGGCCATACTTTTAGTTTGTTACATTAATGTTAATATTTTCTATATACGCTGTTGGTTTTCTAAATAAATAAATAAATAAATAAATGACTAAAACAGGGCGTGGATTATGGTTGCGTCACCGAGATGGTGAGGTAAAAGCTGGTCGCGGTTGCAGTGGCGCTTTAGCTCAAACGGTCGGAGAGAGTGGACATGCTAGGAATTAGATATTTGCTTAAGTTGCTAATTAATAATTGATATAGATAATGTAATAAGAAGTTTATAATACAAGTTTTGTTTAGAGTGCATTTTTTTATTTGAATTTTACTTCTGGTCGATAATATCAGAAGTGGGATAGTGCTTCGTCGCCTACTCGCTTTTGGAACACTTGAATAACAATCAAATTAAAGATTAGTGTCGTGATTATATTTAAACGTTATAGTAATTTTCTTTTTGCTTAGTGTTCAGTTTATAAATCCTAAAATGTCCGAACAACAATCTCGCTCTCGTAAACGCAAGCATGAGTTAAACCCACATCTTTATGTGCTGAATGCTATCCTTGATAGATTGAATACGCTTGAAGAAACGTTTCAATTCACCGCCACCTCCGTCCGAGCCACTTTTACAGGCCGCGTCAACATCTTCGGGTCAGGCACCGCACCTGGTACTGCCCGCACTAATGATTGGTGCAGCCACCGACGACGTACGCGATGACGACTCGACGGCAGTTCACGCACCCGTTTCGGTATCACGGGAAAGCATTGCCACAGGCGGAGACACAACTAGCATAATCATGGAGGCCATCGATTCGTTAGTTAAAGCAAGGTCTAATAATTCTTATATTTCTAACTTTGACCCTCACTTTCACAATATTGACGTTTGGTGCGAGGAAGTAGACATGGCTAAAGAAACTAACGGATGGGACGATAACTAGTGTTTGTCGCAAATCATAAATTTTTTGAAGGGAGAAGTACGTGTGTGGCTTAGCGAGTGGTCCAGCACCGATCGTTCGAGGACGAATTTCAAACGAGAATTTAAAATGCTGTGTCCACGAATCGTCGATATTGCATCTATTCTTTACGAAGTGATGACCAAAAATTCTAAAAGTTATACTACTTACGCCGAATACGCTAGACGTTCGTTGTTAAGGTTGGGTTTGGTTAGGGGACTATCTGACGAATTCTTTGTTGCTATAGCATTAAGGGACATCACAGATCCTCGTATTAAAGCTGCAGCTACTAATGCAAAGTTACAACCCAACGATTTAGTGCAATTTTTGTCGATGTAAATAAAATAAAAAAATGATTTTCCGTCTACTCGTGATGTCACTTGTGGATCGCATCCTAGTTCGAAGTCAAATATTACCCGACGGAATGGCAATAAAAAGGAGGTTGGCAACTTAAGATGTCACTTTTGTAGAAGGTTTGGGCATAAGCGTATAGACTGTAAGAGTGCTAAAAGAATGCGACTATGTAATAATTCAGGGTCATCGCCGTCTAACACAAAGTCACCGCATTCTGTAACATGCTCATTTTGCGAAAAGAGTGGTCATGAAATTAATGACTGTTTTGCCAAACAACGTTCAGAGTCGACAAAACTTAACCCGCACAATGTAAATTTTTGTAGTAAATTAGACAGTAATGTTTCCAGATCGACAATCGATGTTACAAGCGCAGTAATTGAAGGTGTACCGATTGATTTATTAGTAGACAGCGGTTTCTGCATAACACTCGTATCGAGTTCTTTGTTGAAACATTTTAAGGTTAACCAAAGACCGACATATCGCATTTAACGAGGTATAGGAAGCTTATTTAATGTACCTCGTTTGTGATATTAATTGTGGAGCTATATCTGTTGAAGCCGATTTTATGTGGTACCCCACAATTGTATCAGTACTCCGGTTATTATAGGCACCGATATTCTGAATCGTGAGGGCATCACACATATCCGACAAAATAGTGTTCAAATTCCGACGCGTACAGGCATACCTATTCCAGTAAACCATGCTTTCGATATTAATACTGTAAAAACATCTCTTAAAAGTGAAGAAAAAGAACAGCTTTTGTTGGTTATCAGTGATTTTTCAAAGTTCTTTATAACTGGCACAGCTTCATCAACAGTCACGACAGGTAGTATGAAAGTAGAAGTTTCCAACCATGAACCGGTATATTATAGGCCGTATAAATTATCTTACGATGAGAAGCTTCGATTTCGGAGTATAGTTAAAGACCTAATGGCTAAAGCATTATACCTCAATCCAAATCACCATACGCCAGCCCCGTGATCTTGGTCAAAAAAAAGATCGCACAGACCGAATGTGCGTAGATTATAGGGTTATGAACTCACGCACTGTAAAAAATAAGTTTCCCTTACCACTCATAGCGGATCACATTGATAGGTTAAGGTCAAGTATATTTTTTACGAGTTTAGATATGGCGACTGGTTTTCGTCAGGTACCTATGGAAGCAGAATCAATTGCCAAAACCGCTTTCGTGATCCCAGAAGGTTACATCAAATATGTTAAGATGCCTTATGGCCTTTCTAATGCTCCAGTATTTTATCAAAAGATCATTTCAAAGACTCTGAAGTCTTTCATCGATTCAGGAAAGGTCCTTGTATACATAGATGACGTACTTTTGCTTTCCGATATGATAAATGAAGGATTAGCCCCACTACGACGAGTCTTAGAAACCCTTACTTCGTCTGATTACTCTGTAAATCTTAAGAAATTTACCTTTCTTAGCAGTGAAATACAGTATCGTGGGAGGGTTATTAGTAATGATCAGGTTAGGCCGAGCATGCGTAAGGTCCAGGCATTGGTTGATTCCCCAAAGCCTCGAAGTGTTAAACAAATTCGACAGTTCCTTGGCCTTGCGGGCTATATCAGAAGGTATATTCCAAATTATAACCAGCGAACAGCTTGTATCGCACATTTAACTAAAAAGAACATGCCGTTTGAGTGGGGAGTCGAGCAAGATAAAGCTCGTCAGTATATTATTGACCGTTTAACAATCGAACCCGTCCATGGCAACATTTACAACCCTCAGTTACCTACGGAGGTGCACACAAATGCAAGCGCTATCGGTTACGGTGCAGTCTTAATACAGATTCATGAGGGTGGGCTTAGGCGTGCAGTAGCGTATTTAAGTAAAAAAACCCAAGGCGTGGAACCCAAATAGCATTCCTATAAATCATATAATGGATTAAGCCCTTTCGTCAGGAAATATCTAAAGCATTTTATTGTGTGTCTGTCACAAAAACGGGTGCCTCGTGCTCCTCATCAACCCATCGAATCTTGGACTAAGCCAGACGTAACATTTTCGGTAGTAGACATGGACACACTTGGTCCATTGCCTGAATCTCAAGGTTATAAACACGTATTTATTATAATTGATGCATTTACAAAATGTTGCCTTCTATACTCCCTCCGTCGTCAAGAAAAGAGCCTTTACCAACGCAGTTTCGATGTTTGGGTCTCCGAGGCTTTTGATCTCGGATTGAGGACGGATGTTTGAGAGTGCCGCTTTTCAAGATATGGTCAGTTTGCTTGCCAGCGACATTCACTTCATTACGCCAAGGATGCACCATGAAAATGGACAGGCCGAGCGTTATTGCCGAACTTTACTAAGCCTTCTTCGTATCGAAGTTAACCATAGAGGTCAAAGTTAGTCTGATGTATTGTGGAAGACCCAACTTATTTTAAATAGTACAAAACACAGTACGAGCAATATATCCCCGCTTTAGTTGCTTATCGGAAGCGACTCTTCCACCCCAGTTATACGTGATCTTGTCCGAGATGTTGCAATAGATATTGCTATCCCAAACCGTGAAGCGCTTATGGCGCTGTGAAGACACCGTGTGTCGTCACTACTGTCTACTAACCAGCAAAAACAATTATATGAATAAAGGCCGTAGATCACCTAGGAGTTTGAGGTAAACGAAAAGATATTTGTGATTAAGGCTTCGCAGTCAGCGGGGAAATTAGATTCCTGTATGCGCGGACCCTACAACGTATTGAAAAGACTTCCACATCATCGGTATAAATTGGAGCTGTTGGCTGGCTCGTACAGGAAGCGTACGGAAACTCCAGCTGAAAACATGGTGCCGTGGGCAGGAGAGTGGAGTCCCGAGACCTGTGCTGCGTTTTTGATTGTAAGTCACCGATATTATTATGTTTGACTGTCATACAAATGTTTGCTTATGTTTCGTTGTATGTATGGGCTAGTGTACTTATACATATCCACGTTGACATCGAGATGTTTTCTCTGTCACGGCAGATGGACCACTCACTTAAAGTTTTCTAAGTTCACGTTGGTATAGAGTGTGATTCTCTACCACGGCAGATTGAGGGTTCCGAAGGAATCTCTTCCATACTTACGTTGACATTGAGATGTTTTCTCTGTCACGGCAGATAATAATAATAATAATAATTATTATATATTTATACTGCCCAACCAGATGAGAAAACTTTATAGATACCCCAAAATAATAATAATATGCGCTCAAAAATATTTGATGACGCCGAACTCGAACGGCTACGACGTGAGGCTATTCCTTTGTCGAATGAAAATGCTACGACAGGAGATGCGGCTCTACGAGTTGCAGAGCAACCCGCACATGTAGATGCCGCCGTAGATCTCCTTGTAGTTGACTCAGGCGATGATGGAATAGTCGCCCCAGAACTAGAGCAAATGAGGAGCATAGTGGAAGAGGCGATTAGGGAAACGCACAGTACGCCTCTCGAGAATCGACCACGACTTCCCCGTATATCCCTAAGCAAGCGGAATCGGGCTGTCGTGAGGGCTCTCAACCCAATGCTGGTTACCTATTTGGAAGCCAGCCGGGACCTTTGCGAGACGGACTCAATTCTTTTTGGCGCCGCACTGGCAGTTTGCCGTATTATTGGCGCCAAACTTCCCAAGGCTGGACGCGCTACTAGACAAAGTAGCGCCATCCTAAACTGGAGAAGAAGGATTGAGGACCGTATCGCAAAGGCAAGGGCCCTCATCGGCAGGCTGATAAGCTTCAGGCCGGGCAATAATAGGCCGAGAATTGTGCGCACCGTCAGGATGGCGTTTGCTTGGAAGCCGGATATAACACAAAAACTGACGGAGCGCATAGACGACATGAAGCAGAGAATCGCTGCTTGGGGGAAGCGGATTCGGCGATATACCGAGAGGTCGACACGGTTCAACCAGAATCGTCTCTTCCAGAGTGATCAGAAGAGGCTCTATGAATCATTGGAGCGACCAATGGTACGTGGAACGGGCCCAGCACCGAATCAGGCCGACACTATCGCATTCTGGCGCGGCCTGTGGTCAGAGCCCGTAAACCACAGTGAGGGCCTTTGGACGGAAGTTGTGGCGAGTCAGTGTGCGAATGTTAAGCCCATGGACCCCGTCATCATTACGCCGGATGACGTAGCCGAGGCGGTCCGTAGGGCCCCGAACAGGAAAAGTCCGGGACTCGACGGACTGCATCACTACTGGCTGAAGGGTGTAGTGTGTCGCGCTGTTCTCGCCCGACAGTTTCAAGAGGCTCTCGACCAAAAGTCGCTCCCGAGCCTCTTCACTACTGGGATCACTCATTTGGTTCCTAAAGACCGAGATTCCACAGACCCGAGCAAATACCGCCCCATAACGTGTCTACCTTCTATATACAAGACACTGACATCTATTTTGAGCGCGAGAATCACTCGTCTCCTGAACTCAAATCAGGTGATGTCGCGCGCTCAAAATGGATGTCGAGGCGGCGGTCGTGGAACCAAGGAACCACTCCTCATTGACGCGGTCATTGCCAAGGTGGTTAAACGCAACCGTTGGAACCTCTCCGCCGCCTGGATAGACTACAAAAAGGCATTCGACTCGATGCCTCATGCATGGCTGAAGAGGGTCCTCGAGCTGTACAAGGTTGACTGTACAGTTCGAGACTTCCTCGGGCAGTGTATGGGGCAGTGGAGTACGATCCTTTGTCATCTAGGCGAGCGGATGACGGCTGCGGAGAACCACATAAGGATAAGAAGGGGTATCTTCCAGGGCGATTGTCTGAGTCCAATCTGGTTCTGCCTCTCTCTGAACCCTCTTAGTACCTTACTGGAGGGTTCCGGGAGGGGATTTCAGCTTCGGGGAGGAGGTACAAAAGTGACCCACCTTTTCTATATGGATGATCTCAAGTTATTCGCCTCCAGTCGCTCTCATCTTATGGAATTGCTAAACATCACTTGCGATTTTAGCAATTCTATTAGAATGGAGCTGGGGACGGATAAGTGTGCGGTCCTCCATGTCGAAAGGGGTAGGGTTGCTAACTCTGAGGGCATAGACTTATCTATGCCTATCAACAAAAAGACCCTATCCGAGGCTGAAATATACCGATACCTGAGTATGTCACAGAACATAGGTATCGATGAGGCGGACATGAAACGGTCAGTTTGCGGTGTATTTTATGCACGCTTGACAAAAGTGCTTAACAGTCTTTTGTCGGGCGTTAATAAGACACATGCATATAACGGTTGGATCATGCCTGTTCTCATGTATACCTTTGGCATGCTCAGGTGGACTCAGACCGAACTGAACGCTCTGGACAGAAAAGTCCGCACTATAATGACGTCCCACAGGATGCATCATCCGAGATCGTCAGTAATGAGGCTGTACTTGCCGCGGAAGCATGGTGGGCGCGGCTTTTTAAGCGCGCTTACCATGCATAATCGCGAAGTGTGCAGCCTCCGTAATTACTTTCTGACGAGAGCGGATGATCCATTCTATAGGGAAGTTATTTCTTGTGATAAAGGACTTACCCCTCTATCCTTAGCCAACGAGCAATGGCAAGACCCGGCAGTACATAGCATTTCCGACCGGGAGACCGTACGGAAGGAGAAGGAGCTCCACGGGAGGTTCTACAAGGCTCTACATGAGCCTTGCGTGGACACAGTCGCCTCCCTCCACTGGCTACGTTTCGGTGACCTCTTTGGGGAAACCGAGGGTTTTGTCTGTGCGATACAGGATCAGGTTATTAAGACCAACAATTATCGGAAATACATCCTAAAGAAATACGGTCTCGTGGATCGGAAACTGCCATATTATAATTATTTGCCGGAAGCCGTGCTCGAAAATGACCGCGCCAGGCTCTACTGGGACCGGGCCATCATCACGGACAGGACTATTCTTGCGAATAAGCCTGATATTGTGCTGATGGACCGGGCACAGTCAAGGATATTTTTGGTCGACATTACCATTCCTTATGACGAGAACCTCGTGAAAGCCGAAACAGATAAGGTGACAAAATATCTGGACCTAGCTCACGAGGTGACCGACATGTGGGGTGGTCTGCCGCCCGAAATTATTCCTGTGGTTGTCTCTGCGAACGGGTTAATCCCAGTCAGCCTCTCGGGTCATCTGAGGCGACTGGGACTCCGTGACAGATCACTCCAAGCTCAAATGCAGAAGGCGGTGCTCCTCGATACCGCCCGCATCGTCCGCCGGTTTCTTTCCCTTTCCCCCTAACCCTCGGCCGTTTGGTCTACCCTGCCGAGGGCTTCCATCTGGTTGGGTTTTTATATATTTATGTAATTTTTATGTATTTATTTTATTTTATTGATATTTATGTAAGTTTATCATTTTCATTTACAATTATATATTTATACAGCCCAACCAGATGAGAAAACTATACAAATACCCCATAATAATAATAATCATATTTATTGGCACAAAATAAGGTTTACATTATTTATCCTTTAGACATTTGAACATATGAGTTATAACTTATCTATACAATTTTATGCACTAGCGTCTAAACTAGGCCGAGCCTGTATCTTAGACACTAGTCTCTTCCAATGACACCATTATTTGCAGTTATAAAAGTATACGGCATATTATGATTTACTTAATCTATTACGTTACAAATTCGAAAATACATTAGGTAACACTTTTTTGCGTTTACCGTCACACTAACTTATTATGCGTATGAAAGGTTAGACTACTATTTGTAGAAACTTTATTAATTTCTTAATTTAAAATGCAATAAATGATTATTGTTGTCACGAGGCACGATGCATAACTTTAGCAATTCTACAGGTAAAAGTAGTTTTAATTCTACAGGTATTTAACAAAAGTTATGCAATGTACAGTGAACAGACATACACATATTATATAATTATTTAATTCATGGTTTTTGCAAAGGATTT